CCGAAAACGCATACCAGTTTGATTTTCTTTTTCTAGGCCTTCAGTTCCCTCAAAGCCAGCCGTTTTTCTATCCTCTCTCCTAGAGGCCAGTCCGGACGAATGCCAATAATCAAGTCAGGCACCTTGCTCAAAACAGTGTCCATCTCTTCCTTATCTCCTAGGATCGATTTCAATATTTTCCTTGCGTCGGGTTCAGCGCCCAAGTTCCCTCAGTCCACTATTCACCTCTCTCTTCCTTACACTCTAATCTTCCTTCACGTCTGTTAAGTCTTTTATCATTTTTAATTCCTTCTAGCTCTGCAGCCTCTGACAACGATCTGAGTCTACGCAGAAAAACTTTAGCAACGAGACCATTACGAGTGCAGTTCAACAATAAGACCAATAAGGTCGCTTTTAGTGAGAAACTGCCTAGGGAGTTATCGGAACAGAACACTATCACTCATCTGGAAGAAGCTTGGTGTCATCTCCAGTTTGTTGTGAAAACAGCATTAAAGACCGTTGCCGACTCTCAAACAGTGGTTAAAAGAGCAAGTGGATATCAGTAACTTCTGAATTAATAGATGCACGCGAAAGCATCCCTGCACGCTCGAAGTACAATGAGGAGAGAATGAAACAAATGCACACTGACAAAACGTCTACGCAATATCCGCGAACAGTGGTGGGAAGGGAATCCCAAAGAGATAGAGAAAGCAGCGTGGACAGGCGACAGAAGACAGTTATTTAGACTTATTAAGGAAACTGGTGAGAAAAGGTATACAATTAGTGAGACTTTAGGGGAGAAGGATGCGTCTGCGATTTACTCACAAGAGAGACAACTGCGACGATGGGTGGAACACTTCGAGGAACAGTTCAACTGGCCTCCAGCTACTATTGTGTTACCCTCTATCCAGTCGGATCCTGAATGAAACATTGAGATAGGCCCCCCAACAATAGCAGAAGTCAAGAAAGAGGTAGGTAACTTGTAACGAGAAAGGGCAGCAGGTCCAGACGGACTACTTTCTGATGTATATAAGGAGGGTGGTAGAATAATTTTAGTCAAGTTAACTGGTGTTAATTAGTGAGCTGGAGTCAGGGAAGGTGAGAATTCCTCTTATGTTAACCACAGAGGAGTCAGCCTGATGAACACAGTGTTTAAGATTCTAGGTTCTATAATCATTAGACGCCTGAGTGAAGCTCGAGTAAACCAGGAAGACTTCAGATCTGGTCGTTGGCATATTGGCCGAATATTCACATTTCGCCAGTTTCTGGAACGAAAGCACCCTTACCAACGCCCGACACTAGCTGTATTTCTCTACTTGAAGGTGCCATTCGACTCCGTCGATCAAGAAATCTTATGGTAGTATCTCTCATAGAAAGGGGTACCGAGTAAGTAAATCACCCTATTGAAGGCTCTTTACTCGAACACCTGTGTGCAAGCTACAGCCTATGGTGGGTATCGGGTGAGTTGTGTACGTCGAGTGGTGTCTGCCAAAGATGCCCTTTCTTTGCATTCTTATCCAATTTTATCGTAGACGCCCTTATTCAGGTTTCCCTCTTGAAATCTGACTACAAAGGGGCTGACCTGATCACAAGAGGATTTTCGGTAGACCTAGAATACGTAGATGACATGGTCCTGTCAGCTGAAGAGGCTGGCAGGATACAGAGTCTTCTTGACACTTCGAATGGCTACTTGAGAATGTTTGGGAAGGATTTATCGCCATTCAAATGCAAATTATTGCTCCAGGATTAGTCTTCAACGATATCCTGACAAACAACAGAGAGTTAAGTGGCTGAGCGCGTTGAACAATTCACTTACCTGCGAAGTCGGGTCAGCCATGGTGGCTTGGGGTCCAACGAAATCTCTGTACGTAAACAAAAGACTAGGTTGGCTTTTACCAAACTAACCTCATCTGTGGTGCCTTCACGATATCCGATTATCTATAAATGGTTGAGTGTAGTGTGCTGCAGTCCGCCCTATTCTACTGCATGGATGTTAATCACGGCCACTGAAGACGGATGACATAAAAAGGCTTCAGAAGTTTGACCACCTTTACCTTCGTAGAATGGGCCGTATTCCGTGGTGTCACCAGTTGAGTAAAGCAGAAGTCAGGTGAAGAGTTTTAGGGAGAAGAGGTAAGTCAGTTTACACGGTTGTGAACCTTCATCGACTGAGATGGTTGGGAGATGTGTTGTGTATGCCTATCCATCGTCTGCCTCGTCACACGATGTTGGCCGAAGTAGGTTCAGACTGGAAGAGGCCCAAGGTGACCAGACTAAAACATGGATTCAATGCATGAAGTCTTTGACTGTTGGTTTGAGCCATGTGGGCGATGTAGACTAGCCGGTTGATGTCCGCAGGACAAGAGAAACCAGTGGTTGAAGACTGACTCTAGGTGATATGGCTCAGAACCCATGTCAGTGGAGCAGATATATATACACATTATCCTCATCTTAACTGCCATACTTATTTTCTTCATTTTCTTATTCCTTATTTTCCTCCTTTACTACTTTCTACTTTTTTTGACCGATTTTCATTTAGTTCTTCATATTGTATTTTACTGCCTTGTTATTTGATGTGCTGATATGAGGTGTAGCAACTTGGACCATTACGCGGCAATGCAGTAATCTTGATTTAGATGATGATGATGATGATGATGATGATGATGATGATGATGATAAGAAAAAAAGGAAATTGTATTCCCTAAATAACGGTTACGAGAAATTTTACTTGTGTTTATTGCTTTTATTTACTGGTAGCTTATTAGCTGGCACAGGCTTATTTATTATGATAAATATTAAGTGACTGCTTTTTAATACCTAGTGGAAATCAAATAGTTACTACGTAAAAATTACTGAGTTGAGCATTCCTTGAATTCTATCCTGCTTCCTGTTGTTACAAGAAAATTACACTTTTTGTGAATATATGGTACATTATATTCACAGTTTATAAAACAATTATTCATTTGAACGTGAAAATATTTCGTTTATAGCTGCATTTTGTTGTTTGCTGACTTCGAAGTGATCTACTTTTTGGACTAAATTCTACTCCTATTGTCTATTTTTAAATTTTTAATACAATTTTTATTGGTAACCAAATTTATTAAAACGTTATGCTTATAAAATCATGTGTGACGGAAAAGAGGCAATTGTTTCTGCTTCATACTACTACTGAAAATTTCTATATAACAATATCGATGTAAAAGTTAGATGTTAAATGTAGTCCATTAAGTTGGGACAAAGAATAAGGAACACTTTTGAATGAATGAACAGAGTGTAACATCCACTGAAATGAAACGATTCCAATAAAAGTTAGTAATTCAAAAATAATTTAGACTGTACCAGAGATGACAGACAAAATTAAGCGACACATCAATAAGCTATTTGGAAACATTTTAGACTCTGAAGTAAGTTCGATCAATTAGGGTTTTGTTTCAAAGAATACGGGGGCAAAAAATAATTTCCCTTGATGTTCAGTTTATCTTCAGCAAGTGTCATGGGTACCTTATACCATTCAGATGAATGAAGGAAAATATTTGAACTAGTTAAATTATAAATAATCTATTATTAATAATTCTGCATTTCAGAAGATAACGCTAGATGCCGATTGTGTCCCTGGGTCTCGTATTGACAACCTCTGAAACCTTTTAAAGTGGTTGTGTTGCCTTAACATTTAAAAGCTTCCACGAAGCTTTCTTTGGGTTAATCCAATCAGCATCGACCATCAAATCACAACCAGTGGTCTTACTGCTAGGTTTGGGGTGGCAAATTGTTTGTACTTCAGGAACTGCAACCTCAATCTTAGTTCTTGCGACGAGCGTGTCCTGCATATCGGAGTATGCAACTTTTCTAACTCATTCCAGCCTTCCTAACTGTTTTCCCGACTGAGTTGACTTCGATGACACCAACTAGATCGTTGCCCAAAGCATCACTCAGAGAAGAAAAATTACCCTTGCTATCTGCGAGCTTCTTTGCTACCGCAAAACCAACCAATCCCTGGATTAGGATAGACATCGGTTTGCGGCAGGAATTGAACATTAAGCAAGCAGTGGGCTTACTGCAATATCCGTATTCGGATGTGGTACTAACGGCCGCAGCTATTTTACTGTGTCCCTTTGTCCATGGGTCATTGGCATTTAGGCTGACCACGCACGTTTTTATTCCTAGAAATGTTAACCAAGGCAAATACAGATAGTCACTAATAATGGCAAACCAAAAAAACACGTTACGAAACGATGCAAGAGAAAAATGAGAATGTATCCTGAAATAAACTAAGAAAATACGTTAAACGCTGAAAATGGTCTCAAAAAGAAGCAAATCATAAACTTTAACTGAATTAATTCAAGTCATCATTTTCTGTAAAACTTTTGGTGTAATTTACACGACGAAAGTCAAAGTTGTTAGGAATGCGGAAAGGTTGACCCTGTGCTTTCGAATTGTGGGTACGTACTCAATATATTTTTTATGAAAAACGATATATTGCAATGTGTCTAGAGAGCAGGCACTAAGATGGTGAAAGGGCTTCCCAACCTTTCTGATAGGCTGTAGACTAGTCGACGCTTCGACCGTAGGATGGAACATGACGTCATTTTGCCACACTGCATTGGGTGAGTTGCAATTTCGTCTTTACTATTTAAGACCTACGTTCAGAGCTTGCTAACTGACAGGACATCACCAGAAAATGAGAAATCCCCGGACTGTGCAAACCAGTGGGATCCCAAGCCAGAGAGCATAGAACCTACACCCTTACATAATACCCTTAAAGCAACACTTCATCCCCACAATATTAACATCTGGAGGGTCAACATACGCCACTGCATTTAGAAGATAGATTTTCACAAGAGCTTAGCGAAAATGTTAAGTAGGGAAACAAAGCAAACCTAAACAAAGTAAATTATCTGTTTTAAAACCAACCACGATCTAAGGGGACATAGTTTATGAATACGTATTATCATTTCCTTCTAGCACAATACATCATATTGTGCCCTTCAAAACTAACCGAAATTTTATAAATGTAGACATACCAAAAGCCCATCTGGAATGTTTCTGTCCATATCAGGCGAAACCATGTCTCTAAAGAAATCAAATGACATCCAGGGGTGTGGATTCAGCGACTGCAGATAACCGAATTCATCCTCCTTAGAAACGTTAGGTTTGCAATGAAATACGTACTGGTATACGCAACATCTCATCTCGTGGAGACTGGTCCTTCAGTTTTGCTTTAGAATGAAAGCATAATAATCTTGTTGTAACTTACGACGAAAAAAGCCTGAAAAGGTCGTATCATCAAACATTTTTGAAAATGATGAAATATTTCGTCCATATATTTGACGCTAGCGCCTGTTAGTTACAGTAATTTTTGCATTGATTTGGCCCGTTAAAACTTCAAGCAGTGTATGAGCTATTAAAGGGAGAAAAGAAGCTTCCACATAACTTATTTCCACGTCTAGATTCCCTGAATCACCATTCCTTCTGATTTTTAACCTCCATACAATTAAACAGAGAGGGAAAGTTGGCGATTGAAATGTTCTGAACAGATCCTACCCACATCTAAAGGAAAAATCAAGCCAGAGTTTAAGGGATCATTCCTGTAAGAAGATCACTGCATGGTTAAAAAACTCTTGGGGAATAGAAGTTGTGCCTGTGTCCCGAACTATTGCAGGCAGCGTGAGGCTATTGAAACGTTTTGTGAGAACGTCTGTGAATGAATTACCCGAAAAAGTTTCTAAGAGTTACTATTGCGAAGTTCCCAGAACATGATTTTTCTGTAACAGCTGGCATGGGATCTTAAGTCTTCAGGGACAAAAACACCCAAATCCTTTCCCTTCAAAAACTCTTCAATTTCCATACGTTGAACCCGTACTTATGACACGCACCCTGTTTTATACGCAGGATTGGATGCTAGCCCATCATTGACCGCCCAGTTTTGAAGTTGAGTCTTTCTGGAGAGAAACATGTCCTTCCTCGCTTGCCGTAGTTTCGCATCATTGGTAAAAGGAAGACTTCAGGAGAAACCTGTTGAGACAAGTTGCTTATATGCATAGGAAAAAGAGGAGGCCATATTATCGAATACTGGGGAGCACCAGCGGGACATTCTATTTCTTCAGACATACAGGAACTAACTCAAACTCTGAACAAACTACCTCAAAGATTGTGGCAAATGAAGATGTTTCATTGTGCAGAAGCGCAGGTCAGTTAAAGCACAGGTAAACTGATAGTAGATATTACCATCGTCACTATTTGCCACTGAAATGCATCATTTCAGGTGCTACAAGAATTTGTCGAAGTCGATGGGCCTTTACGTCAAGTAGAATAGAAAAGATTAAAATCTTCCATTCTGAGATAACCAGCATCTTTTTTATTCCTGCTGCCAGGACCAAAAGATGATGAGAAAAATTTCTGAGAGACTCCATTTCTTAGCATCATTCCACAATCCCAGCTAAAATTAGTGTATTCAGGGGCTCATTTACCATAGTCAGAATTTTCTCAATATATTGTATCTCCTCGCAACGTGAGCCTCAGTCAAAATACAAATCATTTCGACCTTCACACCCAAGAATGGCTTGCACTGAAATGAAGGTAAGCGGAACGTGAGTTGTGAGGTTGAGCGTTCACCAGATTCGCTTCTTAAATTCTTGAGGCTTGAAACACTGTATGTAGGCACTGGTGTCGCTTAAACTTAGCATAGGAGCTGACACTTGGCTTCACCTGCCTGCCCAGGTCTTTACAAACCAACTCAGCTACTGAGTATCTAGCGCACCATCTTGACAACGAAAATACCGCTAGGCTAGAGAGTAGCAAATAACCACCTAAAATATCTAGATAGCAACTGAATCATCTTCTGTTGCGTCCGTGGGTGACTTTGGCACTGTAAGTTTGCTCTGGCCACTAGGCATCCGTCCGTTGACCCCCACCATTTTCGCATCCTCTTCGTGCTGAATATTGGCAATGCACTCACAGTTCCAACCTCAGCTATCAACAAGCAAATAAAACTAACTTTCTTCCCCCCAAAATAACCTTTCACCCTCTGAAGAATGAGTGAAGTGCTTGTCTGCGCACTCTTTGTCTTGAGACGCCCTTCCTTATTCTTCTTTTGTTTTCACTACCTAGACGTAGGTAATGTACTTATCAGTTCAGTGCTCGTGCACACTGCTTCAGGGGGGGGAAGGTTCAGCGTTTGGCAACGGTAACACAAAAATCATCTTACAGAGCCAGTGTGGCGCGAGCTTTCTGGAAATGGAGCCCAAAACATCGAGTGAAACTGTTTTTAAAGGGGTTGTTTGACTGGAATTGAGCGGTGGATCACCGCTCAGTGTGATACAACTTAGCGCTGAGTAACTCCATCCATTCACGGTTTTACGGAATAAGTGGCTTCTGGGCATCAATTCATTAGCACCAACCATAGAATGTATGGTCTGTCTATGGCGACGAGTGATGGTAGCCCGCTTGGATCCATGGGTAACAAACGTCTGCACCAAACACGAGTAGCAAATTCATTCTCTTCGATCAGTTTTAGTAATTTAAATATGTACTGTGAGCTTACCGTACCCTCTTGCACCAATCGATATACTTTCAGCTAGTTTATCAAATCGATAAGAAGAGGAAGGAAAACCTCTCGCTGGGTGGAAGCGGGATTTTCAGTTCGTAAAACTGTATCGAACTGCCTTCCTTTGGGTGCCCAGCCTGAATCTCAGAGTCCTGCACTGGGTGAGTGAAACGCCGTCACCAAACCTTCGCTCACTTTCTGGCCATTCACCATTTTAAACCAGACGTCAGTTCAATACAGGCTAGTTGTTTCACGAGTTTTCTGTCAAACCTGTTGTCATCAACGTCATTCAGACGCAATGAAAACTTCATTCGAAAACACTGGCCTGGGAATCGTCTTTTTGAGAGGCGATAGTTTGAGAATTTCGTATTGTATTATACATATTGGTGGAATAAAGCTATTGTTATTGCTGAAACCCGAACTTCATGTTGTCTCATTGAATAGCACCTTTTGGCTTGGACAGGAAATGACTGATCTTCGTTGACCCTTACCTACTTATGCTCGCTGCTCCTATCTGCTTCTGTCAACATTCAAGCCATTTATTATCTCTTCGCATTCCTCTTACTTGGTGGCATGACGTGTGGCAAACTAAACAGGTGTAATTAGGATCCAAGCTCTAGGTTGAATCGTCTCCCTGCCTACCTGTTGGGTCAGTGTCTAGGCATTACAAGGTCTCTTCTTCACTGTTTGAGAATCTTCTCCCATCCTAGCTGCGTCTAGGCCTAAAAAGGCTATACACGTCACGGTCGCAGTAGAACCTTTTGTTTGCTTGGGAGACCTAGGAAATCTGAGGATCACTGCTCTCAGCAGATGAAAATATGCCCGATACTGTGCTACTTCTGAGCTCTTAATTCGTTAAAAGACTTATATATAAACAGGTTCTGCAGTCCTTACGCTCGTGCTTGGCTCTCTGCCACCACTTCCATAACACAAGCAGTGAATCCCATGCGCTGAACTGTTTATTGCCCCCCCTCATTTCGCACTCGTTTTCGTTTATTGTCTCATAAGTACGACTTAACGAATTGCTACTTGCCACAAAGTTTAACCAAGCTATTTTCGCTATATATACATTTCACTGCTTAAGCTTGAAAGACAACTAATTAGACGATTTTGATAAAATATATGGTGCCCACGCTATTGTCCCTCTTTGTATTTAAAGCTGATTATTTCAAATAAGCCATGTATCGCTTTTCTTACATTTCTTTCTCTTAGGAAATGCGGATGAAATTCACCCTGGTGACGAACTGAAGAGTACGGAAACTCTAGATACCCATAATCGTAAGCCATTCTTTGCACTAATTCTGCTCATTGGGAGCTACTGATCACCTTCGAGAGACGAAGGTGCACAAGCCAGAGGTGTCAACCTGGCCAAAGTATTTGATCGCACCGGCAGATGAGCCCACCAACTTCTGCTTCGATCATGTAAAGGATCGGCCCCGCCAGGCGTTGATGTCGCTACAGGTATTAAAACTTTCGGGTATCGTGGGAATACGAGGCAATATAATGGCCCAAGTGAGAAGGGTGAGCTACTCGGAAAGGCAGCCTTTGTGCATCCACGGAATTCTACGCCGAGGAACTGATGGCAGCAACCGCTTGTTGCAGCTTTGTCACATCAGTCACCTGCTTCTGGCTAGCGCTAGCTTCAATAATGTGGAGAATCACTGTCTCACATGGTGTCCGCGACCATAAACCAATGACGCACACACATATATCATACTACCGTAAGTTGTTGTAGAGGATTTGTGGAAGATTGCCTTTCTTCCTGGAGCACCCGTATGAACTCCCGCCACGTGTCAGTAAAGGCCCATATACGTCCCCACACAAGTGGTCGCAGACAACAGGAGTCAGTGGGGTCAGTGCGTTCTCAAGCGGAAGATAAATACGTGAGGCGCGCAGTTAGGGACGGGACAGTGCAGCATTCATCTAGATGTGCCGGCAATCTCCACTTTGATGAAACCTCAACTGGTATTAAATCTTGTGTGGAAACAATGGTGTAGACAAATGGAAATATTCACCCGAGAGTTGCAAACTTCATTGGATTTTAACAACGTCATCTGAACTGGCTGATGCGAGAAGATTGATTCCAAGTGATTCTAGTCACGGAGAAACGTGAAAGCAAATTAATGGTGAGCTGACAAATGAGTCTGTGCAACAGCACTTACTTGGAAGTGCCTCCTCATAGCTCAGCTCTGCCATAGCCACACATACTAGACAGCGAACCGAATGGTCCTCACGACCCTTACGTCCAGTCCCACCCATTCCTTGCACAGTCCGGCTCCCAAGCCACCAGGAAGCAAAGTTACAATCAATCTCCATAGGATAAATCTGCTAAGTGTAATGCTTGCTGGAACCGCAGAATGCAAAATAACCAGCACACATGTATGTAACAAAATATGTAAGCCCCAATAATATTGCATTATGAGCGTCGTTTTAAGAGCACACAACTGAAACTTCAAATGTGAAGATGGTCAGGGGGTGCTTTCAGGCATTTTATTACTCATGGTAAACAGCCTCTCATTCCAAACACAAGATGTCGAGGACAGCGCTCTGTAAGAGATAACCAGTATCACACCGCGAAAACATGACGACGGTGATGATATAGATCTTTATGACACTGACAAGAATGTATGTAGAACGGAAAAATTCGGCACCTACAAAACTAAGGCCAAAATCACAAACCAAGAAGGAATTATTTGAGATATGTGCGAATGCATTTGACCCCTAATTAACTCTCATTCTATGTGATCAGCGCCAGTTGTACACACAGCAAGATGAAGCTGGTCACACTGTAATCCCTGTTATGCAGCCAGTCCGTGACAGTGAATTCAGAAGTTTGGTGTACTCCCAACAACTGGGGTGTGAATACAAAGACTGATAGTCATTCTTTCCGTCGGGAGAATGGGCCACGTAGAAGAGAGGG